TGGAGCCAGAAGACTCAGAAGCCATTTAAGTCAACCTTCTCAGCGAGCTGTACCGAGAATTGAACAGACTTATCCAACATCACACAGCCTATACCAGAACTAGGCCAAAAGATTTTGTAAATATTATTTGATTTATGAAGAATCCAGGCTGATTTATACAAAGAAAATATTTCAAACTACTTTCGAGCCCTCACATCTCCCTATGATTTTTAAGGTATTCAAGAAAAAGCCTTTTGATAGCCATCTGGGAAACTTCAAGGCAGAAAATTCTTCAGAACATAAGGTAAGAAACTAAGGTAGACAAAAATTTATTCCGGCCAAAATATTTATTTGAAAAATATTTGATGGATTAATCTTTTTAATATAGACAGATCTAGACCACCTGAATTTTAAATTTCTTATTAATAATTACACCGACACCAATCTACACTTAATAGCATTTATTGTACTAGATAGGCTTCTAAGTGCTGGACGTATACTAACCACTCAGTCCTCCAGTAACATATGATTTGGTCTCTTTATTTATTAACCCCTTTTTGCTGATTAAGCAGCTGAGGCAGAGAGGGACAATGACTTTGTAAAAGGACACACTGTTTGTGAGAGGCAGCACTGAGATGTGAACACTGGCAGTCTGGCTCCAAAGTCTATGTACTTAACCACTGTACCAGACTGTTAGTTACCACTTGGAAGCAATTTGTATATCAATACATATGTATCCCTAGTAAGTGGCAAAGCCAGGATTTTATCCAAGTCTAATGTGATTTAGAGTCAATGCTCTTTTCCATCACACCATACTGCCTCTCACATTATCATCCTGAAACTTCACTTTGACCTTCTTGAGCAGCCCCTGACAGAAGGTAGTGATATGAAGATCCTGTCCAACAAGACACCATAGAAGCAGAATAGAAAAGACAATCCTAAACCACCAGCCATAGCATGATCTCCGTCCAGGGTTTGCTGGAGGATATTGGCTCCACTAGGTCACACCTAGCTTGTGTGCTGTGCTCCTCTCTCTTCATTATCAGAAGGTGGTGTGGTTGGTGGAACAGGCACTAACCACGGAGCGACAGACCTGGGTTCCAGTCGTAGACCAGCCTGGGACTGGCAGAGTGCCATCGACAGGCAGGGCATTGTGCTCCCTGCTTCATGTACCTGGCTCCCTTAATCCTCTCAACTACCCCATGAGTGAGCATGACAACAAGTGTACAGATGAGGGAAGTGAGATTCAAAGAGTTAAGCAATTCCATCAAGGTCACAAAGGAGGGTATTCAGCCCAGGTCTGCCTGACTGCAAAATCTGTACATATTCCAGGCAAGTTGCCTCTAACGTCACTTTAAATCCTCTGAATCTCAGACTTCTCAAATAGAAAACAAGGAAACTGTGCCAAATCAGTACTCTCCGTGCCATGGAGCCCTAGGGATTCTTCAAAGGTGTCTTAGAAGTCATTTTGGGAAGGAAGTCCAAGGAGACAGGGCCCAGACAGCCACTTACACCTGATGTGTGTGTGCGCACGTGCATGTGTTCAGAGCAACGCCACTTGACCTGCCTTGTAAATATGGCTTTCCACACTTGGAGTGAAGGGCGGATTTGGCTGCTAAAACAAATTTGGGGACCACTCTATAAGTGACCTTTAAGGCTCCTCTGAGCTTTAATACCCAGGAAGGGATCAGTGTTGAAAAGGTGCAATAACTATGGTAAATCAAGCCAGGCAGAGGAGACTTCAGATTCACCTGGCTAGTTCTGTCCAGAAAACATGCAATGGCTTTGAAATAAAAGGCTGTGCCCAAACTTCCACTGATCTAAACACAATTTGAGAAAGTGTTTCAGTTGCGTCTGTGAAAATGGCCTTCTTACCCAGGGCCAACTAGTGAGAAACACAGTCTGAGTTTTCTTCTCTTGTGATTGCCGTTCCTTGAGGGTTTCAACTAGTCAGGGATGAAAGTGATGCGGTGTTTATGGCTTAATTCTAACTCATTGCTTTTTGTCTTCCTCTCTATTTATCTTGCCTCATCCTCTTTTCATCCCGCCCACCTTCAATCTTGTCTCCCTCCTCTGGCCCCAAAGCCAGGTGGTAGACAGCAAAGGAGTGGGCTGTGTTGGTAAGAAATGAGATAATTCATTTATTTCATCAAGCCCTGCTTTTCCCCCATCTGTATTCCTACACAGAGCAAAGCACTGGTGCTTGGATGCTGGCTATGGGGCAGGCATCTTGATGAATGCATGGAGAGCCTATGCATTCATTCCTACAGCTCATACCCCTTTCACTAAAAGCTGCATTTGTAGAAGAGAATAAAGCCAACGAAAGGCAAGTGTTAATCACAGTGATGGTGATCACACCTTTTTAAAAAACACTTATTGAGGTGTACTTTACATACCATAAAATTCACTTATTTTAAGCATGCAATTCAATGATTTTTAGTAAATGTACAGTTGTACAACCATCACCCCAGCTCAATTTTGGCACACTTCCATTACCCCAAAAAGTTCCCCCAAGCTCATCTGCAGTCACACCCTGTTCCCACCCCGGCCCTCGGCAACCACTAATCTACTTTCTGGTTTTTATAGATTTGTTTTTTCTGAGCATATACATGGAATCATATAATATGTGGTATTTTGTGACTGGCTTCTTTCATGTAGTATACTCTTTTTGAAGTTCACCCACATGTTAGCATGTCTCAGTACTTTGTTCCTTTTTACATAACATTTTTTGAATGGCAGCATTACATAGAGGAAAGATCATGGATTTCAAAAGCATGGAAACACGGGGCTGATCAAAGTTATACCAGTTCTTAGTTATGTGACTTTGGGCAAGTTCCCTAACCTCTATGAGACCGATTTGTGGAATAAGGATAACAACCCCGCTCTCAGAGGATTATTCTATGAACTAGCTGGATTGTGCCAGTAAATAATGGGCAGTCAAGAAATCCAGTCTTTTTCTCTATGAATTCCCCCAAGAACCTTTGCTTTTCTCCCTCTGCTTCAAATTTTAAAATGAATCCTACAGCCTCCCTACCATCTTTCGCATCAGGTTGAAATGACAGCGCACATAACTAGCAGTATCAGGAACAGAATTCCGCCAAGGGGAATCACATCCTTCATTAACGGATCCCAGATGGTGAGGAGCTAAAGGGATTTCCTCCAATTATGTTGCTGTCATTTGTTAGAAAGAAGGTCAAACTGTATTTAATTATTATTTTAAGGAGGAAAGTGTTTCAAATTTTACCCTACAACATTTTATAGAGTTGGTCTCACCTTTGAAAGGTTCTAAGAACAACATATTTTCCCACTAATTCTTATAAACCTTCATGAGAAACATCATATAAAACCTATTAACATCAATCTTCAGATATCATGTAAACAAATAGCAAAGGCTACAAACCTCTGAGTAAATAAAATCCACCTCAAATCTTTGAAACTCAACTTTTAGCCAGTAGTTTTGGGCTTTTTATTTCTCAGACCTTTAGAAGAACCTGAATTTCATGTGTGTAGCAAAGCAGACTAAATCGAACTCCTTGTCCATTTCTTCAGTCCACTTTCTCCGATTAGAACATGTCACCAATTTGAGTTCCGACTTAAAGGGATCCTGCATATAACCCCATCGTACACTCCTGGATGCAAAGTTTATAAAGATGCTGTTCCCTGAGCATGAAATTCTCCGTTCTAAACCTGCTTTTCCTCCTAAATGACTGTTTCACTACAGTTTATAATCGATCACTATTCCCCTTCTTGTTTCGGATTGTTTGTCTTTCCTTTTTCCTGGGATTTATCACAGCTTCATTTCTTCCCCAAATTCCTGAAACACTGAATTCCCTTCCACCTCCGAGATTCACTTCCTAATTTAACAGTTAAAACAGAAAAAGATGTCCTCTCAATATTTCTACTAAACAAAATTGTTTTGTAACATTTCTTATTTATCCCTCACTTCCAGGAAATTAGCATGGTATACCTTTTTTCATGATATAAAATGCCTGTTGTCAAAAGTAAACTAGTAACTAAGAGAGGCAATCTTTATATCAACCAATAGTCACTCTACATATTTCTGGCGTTAAAGATGGCAAAGAGTGATGCTTTCAAGTAAGTAAATTAGATATCATTCTTACAAGTGATCAGTCTGCAACATTATCAGGTGAGTCTGACTAACTTGAACTTCTGTGATAAAGCCACACTCACACAGATAAATAGATAAAGGGCCATATCCAGATGGAATCAAACGCTTTAATGTATTTATGTAGGGATTCCTATGTTTCCTTGCTCTATGTACTTATCTGAAAATAGCAATTGTTAACAAAATCCAAGATTGAGAGATCAGTAAGAAGTGGATAGAGTTCCAGGAGAGTTTTCACTCACCTAAAAGAGGCTTGGGAATCCATAAATGGGGTAAAAATAAATAAAAATAATTTGGGAGGGGGCATAAACAGCTTAGGTTTAGTTAGGTTTGTGAATTCCTTCAATCTTTAAAAAGCTATTCTTATGTTAAAACTTCCCTTTCGCACACTACAGTGAAGACAGTAATTTATATCCAAGACTTTATTTTAGGGATTTCATTTTAAATGGCATCACAGGAATTTATCTCATGGTATAAATAGTTTAGTAAATCTGGGATTTAGCAAAGATTTTTCTCTCCACTGCACAGGCCTTTTGTGCAGAAGACGTTTAGTACCAGATGACAAAATAATCTTGAGGCATGATGGTTTAACTTCAGTTTGTGCCCAAACATCCTGCAAAAAAATCTTAAGCCCCAAATTCCAATATATGACCAACACATGGAAATTATATGTTTTTAAAAAATCACTTAATGACCCAAATCTTCAATACCTATACAAACATCACACAACCTTCGGATTATACTTTTGCCTATAGTTTGTTTATAGCTCTCTAGAGAATCCTGATCTCAGGGTGATTGGTGAAAACTTCAGATTTGCAGACATCATCTCTGAGGCCTTGGCCACCATAAATATCTATCAGCATCCATGCATCAAATAATGCCAAGAGTCTCCTACCCTGAGATGGCAGCGAGTTTTTGGTGTGCCTGTCGGGCCATTTCACAGCCTTTGGTTCTTGTCTTGTGCATTTCTGCCCGGAGCGAGGGGCAGCTGACCGAGACGTCCCCAATAGAAATGACCAACTCTCGGTACAGGGCCACTTGCGTGTTGAACTCTTGGACAAGCTGGAAAAGAAGCGTTTCTTTCACTAAACACTGAACGGAAAGTTTTCTATTCTAGTGTACGTAAACCCGAGCTCTCACTGACCCCTGAGCCACTTCCCTGGCTCTCCAGTTTAAGGAGCCTACACATTATTTAAAGATTAAGACACAAAGATGGTAAGTTCTCTTTGTCCAAGGCAGGTGTTTGTTTTTCATCTCGGTCAAGTCTGGTCATGGAAGCTCTCTTTCCAGACCTACTTGCCCCTACCCGTTCAGACTCAGTTTCTGAAGAGCAAGAGTGTATTTGGGGAGCTACCATGCCACTCCCAGGTCACTGGAGACTGATGGTGGGAACTCTCGCATAGAATGCTCCCCTCTAATACCGCTAGGATATGAATTTGAAGTTGCATGGGGATAAAGGCCAAAGGTAGGTTGTAATAGGCAAACCATTCACCTCCTGCGGGCTCTGGAGCCTGACAGGAAGACTGATCACAGCTTCTGCGTTGGAACCTTCGTCCCTTCCGCAGAGCCCTGTGAGGTCCGTTTGGGTTTGTTTGCTACTGTCTCCCCACAGAGCAGCACCCCCACCTCTCCATTCCCTCCTTCCTTTAGTGAGCAAGTCAGTTCACCGCGTCTTTCGCGTCCACCGTTCTCCGAGGGGGTAGAGGCGCGACCTACAGCCGCTGACCCCAAGACCTTTGCCGTGGCACTTCTTTGCGGGGCCATTACGACCCGGTATCACCCGAAATCTGGGGGACTGCAGATTTTAAAATAGTGCATGTGCACGTGATCGGCATGGAGGCGCTGAGGGTGGGGGAGTGGCTGGCGTTCAAGCAAACGATTAATACATGCAGTTCTCCCACCTCCAAAAAAGAAAAAAAAAAAAAAAAAAAAAGAGGCATAGTTTTCACCTACCATCTTGCAGTCGTCCAGGGCTCGCTGGGTTTTGTGGGCGCTCTCGGAGCCGCTGCCCCGGCGCTCCCAATCCCCGCTCTGCAGCGGGGGCTTGCTGATCTGGAAGATCGAAGAGCGGGTGGACCGGCTGGGGCGCTTTTTGCGCCCATTCGGTGCAGAACTCATGCATACACATCCACCAAGCCGAAGCCGCTGGTGCAGTGCGCCCCGGCGCGGGCGGCCCGGTGGTTACCCTGCGCGCCGCCGCTAAGCAGCAGGAGCCGGGACCGGAGGCGCGGCGCTCACAGGGTTGGGGCTGGCTGCGAGGGCGGGTAACCTTCAGCTTGAAGGAGAGCCGGGGAAGCGCTGGCTGTGCCGTGCAGCATCTCTTCCACTAGCAGCGAGGAGGGGGCTCGGTCAAGTTCTGCTCAGCAGCATTGCCGGCCCTGTCCCAGGAGCTGGAAGCTGGTGCGGGCTCGCGCCGCCTTCCCCTCGGCATGGATTGCAAGGCTGGGTGAGAAGGAACGCGCCGCCCGGTGGTTCCGAGTTTCCATTCAGATGGGGGAGCAGCTTTCAAAGCCTCTGCTGCAAGGGGGGTGGGGGGTGGGGGGCGAGTGTCGCTCTTGCCTCAGTGTCTTCCCGCAGCAGCGCTCGTTTGTCTTTCCCCTCCCTCCCCCGTCACCAGACCTGGAAGGCTGGCAGTCCCCGAAGCAGGCAATTGGCTCTGATGGGCTGCCTTGATCCCTCGTCGTTACGGGCTCGTCTGTTTGAGGATCCCAGATGAATCCGTGGCGGGACTGGCAGACGCAGGGAATCGGTCCGGCTGACGTTGTCCGCGGCCCCGCACATTGATAGGACGGGAATACTAATGTGATCCGTCCATGCAACCCCCTTCTACCTCCACAGTTTATGCACTTATCCAATCAAATCCCCAGGAACATCAATTGCAATATTACTTCATCTGCTCTATTATTAGAAAGGAAAAGTGTCATCAGAGTGGAGCACATTGCCACATGCTGGGACCTAAATAAGGATTTCAAATCTACCAGTGTGGGCTTGAGGCCCTCACCATCTGAGACTCGGGTGCAGAGTATCAAAGCCCAAACCAAGGAGGGAGTCAGGTTTTTGCTTCAAAAGGAAGATCCCTTAATAACATAACAGAAAAGCTTTGTTTCCTGAGGTTTTTGTTGTTGTGTTTTTGTTTTCTGTCCTTGTTGAGTGTGTGCAGGGACAGGGATGGCCAGCCAGTGGGGCAGAATACACAGAGGCCTGCTGGCAAATTGATCCTCAACCCATCCCATTTTAATCAGTAAAGCTCCTGGTCGTGGACCCCAGAGTCTCAGGACCCAGCTCTGAGAGTTTCCCCACAGAGAGTTGAAGAAGTCAGAGCCAACAGGCCTCCCTGGGCGCTCAAATGGATCCAGTTCTCCTTTATGGGATGTCAGTGACCCAGAGGCCAATGGAGGTGGCCCCCAAAGTGGAGAGGATGCCTGCATGAAATGGGCTCCAGTGAGTTCCTGGGCCATTTAAGTCCACCCTTATGGCTGACATCCTAAGATTCTTCTGAGTGGAAGAGAGTCGGGTGGGCCTTAACTCCAGTGCTCTGAGAATGCTTGTTCCCATGAATGATTTATTTGGAGGGGACCTTGTTAAAAAGGTCTGCCATAGGGGAACTAATTATATGTTGAAAAGCCTAATGAAGAATAACACGAGGTTCCTGGTCAATCTCTTACAGGAATATGGAGAGTACACACAGAGGGGGAGCCAGAAAGAGCCAGGAGGGCTCGGAGGAGGCCTCTAAGGAGGATGTCTCTAGAAGGGTTTTAAAAGACAGGGAAACATGGCAAGGTGATGTGGTATAATAAGAAAGATGTTTGGTTTTTGCCCCCAGTTCCTGACACAGAGCTCCTAAAACTCTTGGAATTTCCTGAGTGATAAGGGTGATAAGAACCTCTTGTCACCAGAAACACCAAGCCTCGATTAGAGGTTTGAACTTTCGGTCCCATCCCCCAACTTCTGGGGAGCAGAGGGGTCTGGAGATTGACTTAATCACAAATAGCCAATGACTTAATCAATCACACCTACATAAGGAAACCTCCCTAAAAACCCCTAAACAATGGGTTCAGGGAGCTTCCGAGTTGAAGACATGGAGTTGCTGGGAGGGTGGCACGCCCAGAGAAGGCATGGAAGCTCTGTGCACCCCCTCCCCCCCATTCCTTGCCCTGTGCATCTCTTCCATTTGGCTGTTTCTGAGTTGCGTCCTTTATAACACAGGTAAGTAAAGCACTTTCCCAAGTTTCGTGAGTCACTCTAGCAAATTATCTAATCTGAGGGGGACTTATGGGAACTTGTAACCTAGTCAGAGAAAAGAGCAGATAACCTGGGGACTTGATGCCTGTGACTGGTCTGTGAAGTGAGGGCAGTCTCGTGGGACTGAGCCCTCAAACCTGTGGAGTCTGATGCTGACTCTCGGTAGTTAGCGTCTGAATTGAACTGAGTTGTAGGATGCGTTGGTGTTGGATATTTGGAGAAGTACTGTTGAAAAGGACTCCAGGTATTTGGTTAGGGAGGAAAAAAACCTAACAGGTGAATATCTGAGTGGATACTCAGCTGCATTTGCATAGTACTTCACAGAACATTGAGAGTCAGTTTTCCCTAACCAGAGTAGGGGAGCGAGGCCTCAGCCCCCATCCCAGACCTTGGTACCTGCTATCCTCCAGGTGTTTAGATGCTAAGACAGGCGTGAAAGGCTCTTCTGTTGGCTGAATCTCTCCAAATATAGGAAGATAAAAGAGGTTAACTCATGGGGCCGGTCCAGTGGCTCAGCGGTTAAGTGCGTTTTGGCCACCCCGGGGTTTGCCAGTTCGGATCCTGGGTGCAGACATGGCACCACTTGGCAAAAGCCATGCTGCGGTAGGCGTCCCATGTATAAAGCAGAGAAACATGGGCACTGATGTTAGCTCAGGGCTAGTCTTCCTCAGCAAAAAGAGGAGGATTGGCAGTAGTTAGCTCAGGGCTAATCTTCCTCAAAAATAAAAATAAAATAAAATAAAATAAAAGATACTCTTAAAAAAAAGAGGTTAACTCGTGTGTAGGGAGGAGAGGTTGAGGAACATATCAAGTGATTTGGTGATATTTGCTGGGGTTTGGTGAGTAGTTGGGATGCTGAGGAGGAAGGTACAGGAAGGCTAAGGGACTTCAGGAGGGACAGATAACACTCATTTGTAAATTGTTTAAGTCCCATGATACAAACCCCTTTTGTTACCATTAACTACCCTTCCCCCCACTATCACCGAACTTAAAATTCTGCTCTAGCCTGTGGTTGGTGGTGCGTTGGAGAATTAAAGGAAACAGAGCTGCATTTTACGTGTGTGGACATAGGATAGAGAAAACAGGATGCTGGAGGTCAGGCTTCTGGAAATCTTTGGCCACCACTCTTATTTCATCCCCTTTCCCTGCAGGAAAATAGTGACTGCCATGAGATTTGAGCATCTCAAAGCTGCTGAGTAGTAGGTTTCTACTCCAGCTACAACCATCTGGTTTCTACTCCCAGCTTCTTCTGCCTAGAGACACTTTCAACAAATAAAAAGAAAAAAAAAGGCAACATGATTGTGCTGCCCTGTTTCTATGCCATATTTCTTGCAGGAGGTGTGTATGTGTGTGGGGGGAAATAAATGGGTCCAATGCAATGCCACATCTGAAGGACTACAGATTTGGAAAACTGCTGGGAGATTAAGCAGAAACTGTCATTTGTAGGTGTCCCTTGGTCTTCCCTGATACACAGCCCAAGCCATTTTCCTGAGAGAGGAGAAAAATAGCATCAATCCCAGAGCTGTCTCTTCCAGGGACAAATGCTGGAATCAGAAGAGCAGCAGGCAGGCTTTGTTCCCTCACCTTCCCCCACATTCAAAACAGCATGAATTTACATTCCTGGGGCTGTCTGACTGCCAAGTAGAAGGGTAAAGTGCAATTGGAAATCCCAACAACAAGGGCACATTTTCTGGTTATACAGGCCCCATTTTGGCACAACCCTCATAATGGGTCCTCCTCAGGTATATGGCTTTGACCCAAGTCACATCCTAGATTCACTCCAATATAAGACCCACCTTGCATTTCATGTTCTCTCTCCAGTAATTTTAGAGTTCATTTTGCTTTGGAATTTAAAAAAAATGAATACTAGTTTATAGTGAATCTGAACAACTGGTAAGTCTCTTCAGATTGGTGCTATAAGGAACCACACCGTGACCCAGAGATGTGCGTCTCAAACTGGGCTCGCTTCTCATGAAAGGAGATACTGGGAGGCAGGTTTCATATGGGAGTGTAGTTCCAGGAGGAGCAAAAATGATAAAGGACCTTATCTGCGTGGGTCTGTGACAGAAGCAAAAAAAATACATTAAGATGCTGAGTTCTGAGAAGTTGGGGGAGATCTGAAGGGAATGACCAAGTTATTTTCTGTTAGTGTCAAAAGAAATTAAGTTATTGTGAAGAATTTAGTGAATAAACTATCTATTAAATGGTTTATTTCCAATAAAAACAGGAAGAAGTACAATATGTTGGGAACATGTTAATTTCACAAATATTTTTGAGTGATTTTATTAGGTTTTGTTGGTCCTTAAGCTTATATAATTTGGGAGCCCTTTAGGGAAAAGAATCCAAAAATTTAGCTATAAAGCTGGATATTTGGTTTTAGAAGGAGCCAATGCAAGTGAGGTTCCCTGAAGTTTAGGCTTTATTACCTTTATGGGAAGTTTCCACATTTGATGTCTATTCTATGCACCGTGGGCATCTGGTGTTTTGCCTCCTCTGTTTTTATTCTCCCTTTTGTGATGATAGCACTTTAAATTTCCTTTGAGGAATCAATCTTACTTTTTGCTGCATGGCTCATGGGTGGGCATATGACTCAGACCTGGCCAATAAGGGTAATACTACATTCTAGTTGCCACAATGATTGGTTTAATAAGGGGCGTGAAGTCTAAGCTGAACCAATGAACTTTGGGCCTTGGAACTTTTTCTGGAACTATTAGGTTGAAACATATGAAATTGCCATTGTGTAAAATTTTTTGACCTACATAAATGGCACTTTCTTATATTTCAACCTAATATTAAGAATTTCTTTCCACTGAGTTCCTAGGGTGAGAAGAAGAAATCTTGGAGTTTCTGGTGGCCATCTTTGGACTCATAGTCAACAGGCTGCCTGAAAGCCAACCCAGAGGAAATCAGAATGGAGAGATGGAGAAAGTTGGATTCTCTTCTTATTGAGGTATAGTTGGCATACAACATCATATTAGTTTCAGGTGTACAACATAATGATTTGACATTTGAATATTTTGTGAAATAATCACCACAGTAAGTCTAGTTACATCTGTCACCATACATAGTTATAGAATTTTTTTCTTGTCATGAGACTTTTAAGATTTAGTCTCTTATCAACTTTCAAATATGCAGTACAGTATTATTAACTATAGTTGCCAAAGTGTACATTATACCCCTAGGGCCTTTTATTTATTTTTGTTTTGTTTCTAAGTGAGTCTATTTCTTGCTCCATGCAAACTTGAATTAGGGATGATGAAACCTGTCCCAGAATCTTGACAAATCTTGACAATTGCTCGCTGATGGCCAGAAAGTCTGAGCATGTCCCAGAGAACTGCACTGTAAGGGAGCCAAGTAAAGCAATTGGTCATTGGTCCAGAGGGTTGATTTCTGAGGCTCCATTGGCTCCATCCACAAGGTCATGTTAGGACAAACAGCTCTATGCACCCATCTTCATAATTAGGGCTCAGGTCTTATTTATTTTACAACTGGAAATTTGTATCTTTTGACTCCCTTCACCCATTTCACCCATCTCCCATCCCCTGACTCTGAGAACCACCAATCCGTTCTCTGTATCTATAAACTTGATTTTTTCTTTTTGAAAAAGATTTCACGTATAAATGAGATCATATGGTATTTGTCTTTCTCTGTCTGACTTATTTTACTTAACATAATGCCCTCTAGGTCCATCT